TATGCATTTATGCATACTAATTAACCTTAATCTTCCTGATTATCCATCAGGGCATTAATCTTCGTTAATGTAATGTGAGCTATAGAGGACAAGTTTGGAGAGATGGTCAACCTATACAAGGCATCAACATGTCGGGGAGACAGTACACAATGATGGACTACCCTAGAATCAGTTCACCTTCAGGAAGTGGATTTTCCATGATGCAGTTTTTGTTGGGAGCTGCTCTAGGTTTTGCATTGGGCTCCATCGTCGGCATCATGTGGTGGGAGGGTCGCAACGAGGCACAGAAAGACAAGTTCCGGTAAGGAACAATTTAAACTCATTTTAATCCCACAAAATGTCAGGCAAAGCATTCATTAAATAGTTATCCTTCTGATTATATCAGGCGAGAAGTGGACAATACGTTGGACACCCTTCAGAACAAACTGCAGAGCCTCAAGATGAGCCGATGAGAAATGTTATTATTCACCTGATTTACTCTGTGTGGACTATTGTCATGATGAACAAAATAAAGATGGCAACTTCATGAATTGTTGAATGCCTCTTAGTGATTCTTTATTAGACATTTTGAAGCTTTTTTCCTTCAACAAGCAGAGACTCTAGACAGCGTTCCTTCCGGTCTAAAACATGGATTCATCACCATTACGACTATACGGGGAATATTAAACTTTGATTTAAATTCATGAGTCTGAATCTTCCTAAATATTTAAGAATCAAACCCAAGCTTATTGCGGGAAAGTTCCGTTCATTTATGGTTCTCTTCGATTCCAGATGTAATTTACTCAGGAATTGGTTCATCATAGAGCAGTCATCTCAGTATGCATCGCTGCCGTAAAACAAATGCTTATCAATATTCCTTGTAATATATAATGTGTAATTATTTTATGACCTTGCGGTGTACAGTATTTTGTTGCAGTCATTACAAAAATGTAGCCGACATTTCAGATTTCAACAGCTATTTCCGAAAGAATGCATAATTTATAGTCGAACCTCTTGCTTTCGTAGTTATTTTCTCCTTACGAGTCTCCTTATCCCGTAAATAATATTTGTAAATGTAAACCCGGAGGAGAATATATAGTACAGTATTTTAATCAAAAATACATCAAGTATACAGAATACTGAACAGTGCGACCCCGACATTTGAACACCCTGAAAATTATAGAGATTTAACAACGAAAACTCAAGGCATTCTTTAAGTTCCAGCCAAACTAGGAATGGTATACAGTGAAACGTATTTTTAAAGTTCATGCATTTTAACGAAGTAATTTTCGGTATTTGAATATTTTCAAATCAGCACACAGCTGGTTGACCGATGGTGCGCGATGCTCAGGATCCCGTTGTAGTACTCGGAAACATTTTTAAATACTGTACTTGCAGCCTATATTGGAATAAGAATACAAAACTTACGACAAAAGAAGAGTGGAGGCCTGGAACTTACTGGTGATACAGGTACGATGCTTATTGAATTATATCTACCTGATTACCACATGCGCTAATTTAAAACGCGTACAAAGGTTTTTGTGAAAATAATTAGAGAAAAAAATAGATCCCTTCCAGAAAAAAAGACACAATCATTTAAGGAGAAAATTTCTGCTTTTTCGCTTAAGAACCTTTTTCTGTAAGAAAAAAAAAAAAAAAAAGGCCTGATATATTCCTTGCATTCTAG